ACACACACACACACACACACACACACACTCTCTCTCTTTCTCACATACACACAAACACACACAAACACACACACACACACTCTCTCTGCAGAACGTATTTCACTTTATCAAATAAAGTGAAATATTATAATGTATAAACATTATAAATAGTGGTCGACCGATATATCGCCAATGCCGATATATCGGCCGATATTTGGCATTTTTAAAATATCGGCATCGGCTGATAAGTTTTTTTGTTTGGGCAATGCGTTCGAGGAGGGACTTTTATTTTGACGGCGCTGAGAACGGCAGCGTCTGAGCAGCACACAGTGCTCACATTCTCCCTCTAGTTCGCTGTGGCGTTAACAGTTCTGTCTAATATGTCTGTCTAATAATCAGATAGAACGGTTAAACAAAGGAATTAAAATCTATACAAAAGTATTATAACGATTGCTTTTATATTATTTGTAATAGAAAGGCAAACATTATAATACTTTCTCGTTTGCCGTCAGCGTTCAGCAAAAACGCGTTTATATCATTTAAACAAATCTTCGGACGGGACTAGTTTTACAGGGGGTCGGTAGAGAAATTTGTGTTTCACCACTTGGTGTACTTGGTGATTTTAATCCCGTCCGAATCTGCCACGTCTGTGTTTTTCTCACACAACCTCTGTAATAATTCCAGAGTAAATTACCTACTGTTTTTCAGCAAACTCAGTGATCCTCAGAGAAAACGAATCCCTTCATCGGCTTTATATCGGCTATCGGCCACCCTGCTTTCCAAGATATCGGCATCGGCGGTCAAAAAAACAATATCGGTCGACCACTAATTATAAACACTATAAACATAGCTATACGTTAGTATAGCTCACTCCAAAACAAATCATATAAATGTAACGGTATTCAGAACAGAACAAGAATGAAATAAAAATATATAAACCTAAAGAAACCAAAACAAAGCCAAACTGAAAGTACCAGGCGTTAATTGGGCTCACGTATCTCTCATTCGGCACAAATCCTAATGTTTCCATATTCACAATGTATTTGAATGAAACTATTATTTTTAATGAAGAGGCTTTGTACTTCACGCGCGTTCGTATATCGACAGAAATATCCTCTTCACATGAGCAAAAATGTGCTTGGCATATAAAGTGGACCAGTTATACCAAAGACTACTTAAATTGACCAGTGTAACCTTTTATATTTTTGGTTGACTGTATTTTTTTTTATTAATTAACAGACTGCGATGTCAAGTTTGAGTTGCGAATATGTGGTGTGTGTGTGTGTGTGTGTGTGTGAGAAAGAGCACGCTGTTGCTGTTAATAGTGTTCACCGTCTGTTTAATTACATGCCATTAACTAACCGCTTGATTTTTACCGTAAATTTCTGCCATATGGACATCAACTTGAGATAGTCACCACTGATAAGCTATTACTAAATATAATGTAGAAACTAAAATTTTCTGTAAAGCTGCTTTGCAACGATTTGCATCGTGAAAAACGCTATGCGAATAAACTTAAATTGACTTGAATTGAATGTTGTAGTTACATTTTCAAGTTAAAAATCGAGATTTTTATTTTTTGCCATATCGCCCAGCCCTAGATGACACGCCGGCATTACTCCTGGTTTCACGCACCTTCCTCTTGGCCGAGTGCTGCAGGAGTTCACTGATCTGGATCTTGTCCTGCTGTAATCTCCTCTTCATCAGTTTGGAGCAGTTGACGTTCACGGCCTCCAGGATGTGACACGTGTTATACTCCACGAACGGTCGGCTGTCGATGAGCAGCACGCGGTCCAAGCCGCCCTCCAGCAGAGCCACCAGACCCTCGGCCTCGATGGGCCGCGCCGCACGCTCACACATACCCACAATCCCTCAGTCCGTCTCTGCGCTAACAGTCTCTGTATCTCAGTGACGCTGATGGCGGGCCCTCAGGAGATCAACGGCCCCATTGTAGCAGCGGATGATGTCACTCTGGTGGCGGCCTAAAAACGTGTGAGAAAAAGCCAGAGGAAACTCCAGAGGAAAAACACACTTACACGCAGCTTATGTGTGTGTGGGGCGCAGTGGCTGATGGGAGTTTCTTTCACACCATCACAGGTGCTGAGCATGCACCTCCTCACCGCTGAGCTCCATCATGAAGATCTCCTGCTGAGACACAAAAACAACCTGTGAGCACTCTGGTGTCGGGAAGGTTACTTTGGAAATGTAATAGGTTACAGATTACAAGTTACCCTATCTAAAATGTAATAAGTAATGTAACTGTTTAAATTACTTTATTGAAGTAATGTAACTGATTACATTTGATTCCTTTTCTAAATTTCTAATGTTTTCAACTGATAATCATTTTCAAACATGTAAACCAGGCAGGATTAACCTTACAGTAATGCTCAACACTGATTACTGTCACTTTCGAAATCCTTTATCACTTGAATTAAGATTATAATAATTTAAAGCACAGCCATCACAAAATCAGACTTACTTTGAGAGCATTCTGAGGTTAAATATGGATTTAAAACCATAACAAGAAATAGTTTAGTAGCTATGATTCTGTTTTTGCAAATCAAATCTTTGCATAGTTATGATAGGAAGCACTGGCATCTAACAATGGCTTGGGAAAAAAACTGTTAATCTTAAAAAATAAAGTATATGCATAAACCATGTGTCCTATTCTGAGTACTAAAATGTTGAAACATTGGTTTCTCATATTTTAGAGCAGTCACTGCAATTTATGAAAGAAATCAATTAAATCTGTATGTGGGTGTGTGTGAAAAAAAAATCAGATGTAACCACTTTGTAATCATTAACATTTTTATAAGTAGCTGTAATGTTACTACACATTTTTTCTCAGTAACTGTAAATTACGTAATTTAGTTACATGTAACTAGTTACTTCCCAACACTGGCGCACTCATGTCCAGTGTTACTTTTAAAAGTAATGCATTACATTATTGTGTTACTCCATGAAATAAAGTAACTAATTATGTAACTTTTTATGGATAGTAATGCGTTACGTTACTTTTGCATTACCTTTTAAATCTGGACAGGGCTTGCTTGTTTGTTTTTAAAATAAAAAAGTTATATTTTTGGCAAATATAAAAGCCTTTTCACACCAAACGTGAAATGAATAAGCCTCAGGCTGAAGTTACTGTAGTTACTTTTTATGGAAATACTAGTGCATTACATTACTTTTGCGTTACTTTTTGTCACCTTGGCTGGGCTTGTTTATTTGTTTTTTAATAACAAAAAACCTAAAAGTTATATTTTTGGCAACTGTAAGGGCTCTTTCACACCAAAAGTGACATTAATAAGCCTCAAGACGGGGACAGGAGAGCTGTCAGACAATACATGGGAAAACAAAGTAACTTGTGTTACATATTTGAAAAAGTAAAGTTCTTGTAAATTTAAAAGTAATGTGTTACTTTACTAGTTACTTTGAAAAAGTAATCTAATTACATAACTCTGTAACACATGCAAACTCTCTAATGCTTTAGGTCTAACCTGGACATTTAACAAATCCACGAGTAATATGCATATTAATTATGTGAGAGTTTGTGCGTTACGGTGATTTCATCATTAAAACAGCTCATTCAAACAGATGTGTATATTTTGGTGACAGCCGCTTTGAGCTCACGTGTGTGTGTTAGTGTGAGTGCTAAAACCAAAAAAAAAGGTCTGCTTTAGTTATGTCATCTAGTCATTGATGTGTACAGAACTACACAGAAACCAGTGAAATTCCCCTGCGTGCCATAAAAACCTGCCAGTCAGTCCTGTATGACGGGAAAATCCCAGCAACAATAGCAGCAGCACACGATGTTACAGAAATACGATACAGTGATCCAAAATGACAGCAGTTGTACCATCAACCACTGATTACGTCAGGATCAGGATGAATTCTGATTGGTGTCATTGGTGATGAATTCAGCTGGAAAAAATGGCTCTCAATGGTGATTCCAATGATATCATTCCTCTGTGCCGTTATTGTTATAGTTATCGCCAGTGTTAGGGGTAGTAACGCATTACAAGTAACATAAGTTACGTAATCAGATTACTTTTTTCAAGTAACTAGTGAAGTATAGCATTACTTTTCATTTCACAAGAAAATATCTGAGCTACTTTTTCAAATAAGTAACGCAAGTTACTCTGTTTTCCCACTTATTCACTGAGAGTTGAGGGAAATTGGGAGTAAGTTATTTTAAAGTACCTTTACAGTTGTTAATAATTTGTGTGGTTTTGTTATTAAAAATAAATAAACAAGCCCAGCCCAGCCCAGGTGACAAAACGCAAAAGTAATGTAATGCATTACGTTCCATAAAAAGTAACAAATTAGTTACTTTTTTATGGAGTAACACAACATTGTAATGCATTACTTTTAAAAAGTAATTTTCCGCAACACTGGTAATTGCTATTATTTTAGCATTAGATCTATTATTAAATCTTTATAGTTATAGTTATCATGGGCCTAAAAAACTATAACTATTTTTGTATCCACACTAGCGGACCATAACAATCTCTTTGAAGACGAATGGATTCTGATTGGCTGAAGAATGTTGGAAAAAATAAAAATCGCTCTGGAAGTGATTTCAACAATATCGTTCCTTCCTGTCGTTATCATTGTAGCTATGGTGTGGACTTCGCTATTATCTTAAAATTAGAGTGATTATTTAAAGGAAAAGCGATTTCAAGTTGTTCTTTCTCTTTGGAGTGTTACAAGCTGATTGTGAATAGATAAGATCCCTGAAGTTGCAAAGACTAAAGTCTCAAAACCAAAGAGATATTCTTTATAAAAGTTAAGACTCTGCCAGGCCCCCCTAAAACGCCTCGTTCTAACACGCCCCCACATATCTACCTCACTATGTGGCAATATTAGCATAATGCGCCCAAATGTGCAAACTGTACGATTATTGTTATGGTCATCGTCTTTAGTGCGAACGGGCAGCTGAACAGTTTTATGTCACGTGTGTCTGGATCAAATCAAAGCTCTGATCCCGACATCAGCGCTTATCTGGAAAATATCACAAACCGGATTACTGATTACTATACTAACATGTGACTTTGTAAAGGCTGCATGAATTCAGAATGTAAAGGTAGTCAATCATGATGTCAGGATCATTGTTTTAAACTATCACAGAAGCATCAGCCAAAAGAGTGAAAGCGAAGTCCAGATGTGAGCGAGACCGAAGTCATGCCGACATGAGAAGATCAGCTTCACACGCGTGTGCGGAGGCGGCAACATGAGAACATGTGATGTCATCATGAACAGGGTCTGTTCGGGCCTCCGGGAGAAAAGCGTTTCCATCCCCCATCAAATATTGAACAAAACCAGAGTTTCTGCATCTTGTGTTTCCCTCAAATAACATGAAACTGGAGCAACAAGCATTTCCTCATATAAAACACAGATCTGATTACAGACGTCATGGAGTTGTTTCTCACAACGTTTATTTCTGGATCTGTTTTAGGACCGTTTAAGTTTCATTTGACACTGATGAGCTGCACGCAAACACTGAACGTTTATTCATGAGCATTTTATTGTTTTTCTCAGCTTTTAAATTGTTGACGAACGCACTGGCATCACAGTTTTTCGAGTCGCATCACGGTTTAAATTTTCTCTGACCCTGTTTGCGACAGGCTGAGCTGAATTAAAACGGTTTGCTGTGTGTTTTTCTGACCGAAGGTTAATAGCTCAACCTGCCTGGCGCAGATAACAGTCATGGAGGACTTTGACCCGTCGGTCAGCCATCAGAATACAAACAGATCAAACGAGGCTGAAATCAAACCACAGACACTTTAAAGGCAACGAGACGTTGTAAATGAAACGTGCAAACTGATCTTTCCAGTCTCTGAGGTGAACATCAGTCCAAAGTCATGCTGAAACCTCTACAATGACGTCAAAAACAGCTGTTCTAAAATCAAATTTAAGATGATTTAAGATAGCGTGTGTTGTGTGATCAATATACTAATAATAGCCGGGGGGGGTATGCATAATGAGGGACATTTAATCATAAACATATTTCGAAATGTCTATGCTTTACTACTTCCAGTTGCTCATTCAAACAGATGCGAGAAATAAAGCAGATGAGTAAAGTTTGTGAACAAACTTTGAGGTTGGCTTAGCCTGAAAGTTTGAAGCAGTTTTAAAAGCTTGAGGTTTGAAAGTTTAGATAGATAGATTAGGTAGATCTTGCTAGCACATTGCTAGCTAGCATGTTTTAGCATGATTAGCATGTCGTTACCATGTTGCTAACATGATTAGCATGTCGTTAGCATGATTAGCAATGTTGCTAACATGTTTTAACTTGTTAACATGTTGCTAGCACATGTCTGGCATGATTCGAATGTTGCTAACATGTTGTTAACATGTTTTAGCATGATTAGCATGTTGTTAACATGTTTTAACATGATTAGCAAGCTTTTAGCATGTTTCTTGCATGATTAACATGTTGCTAGCATGATTAACGTGTCGTTACCATGTTGCTAGCATGATTAGCATGACGTTACCATGAAGCATTTAGTAGCATTTCAAGCGACAGCTGAAAACTCACCTCTTTCGTCACTATCTGACTTCACTTCTCTTTTCTTTCATCTTTCTCTGTCTAGCTTGTACTTATTTGAACAATGCTTGAAACTTGGTACGACGAGCACTTCCTGTGTCTATTTGCCTCTTTAAGATTAATCGCTTGATGTATTCCCCAGTTGGATAAAAACGTCTGCTAACTGAATAAATGTAAATGTAGCGTGTTGCTACCATTTTTTTAACATGTTTTAACATGTTAACATGTTGCTAGCATATTTCTGGCATTATTAGAATGCTGCTAACATGTTGTTAGCATGATTAGCATGTTGTTAACATTTTTTAATATGATTAGCATGCTGTTAGCATGTTTCTTGCATGATTAACATGTTGCTAGCATGATTAGCATGTCGCTAAACATTAACAACACTGTAATCATGTTGTTAACATGTTAATTATGTTAACAACATGATTATAGTGTTGTTAACGTTTTTAACATGACTTGGCATGTTGTTAGCATGATTAGCATGTTTCTAGCATGATTACCGTGTTTCTAGCATGATCACCATGATGTTAGCATGTTGCTAATGTGTTTCTATCATGATTACCATGCTGCTAGCGTGTTTTAAAGTGGACAAAGTACACAACTCTATTACTTGAGAAAGTACAGACACTGCTGGTCAAAAATTACTCATTACAAGTGAAAGTACTTGCTTTTAAAAGTACTTAAGTATCAAAAGTAAATTCCTTCTTTTTTTTCAATGCACTGTTTTATTATTTTTGTCTTTCAAATGTAGTAAAGTTAAAAAGTCATAAGTTTGGAGAAAAAATAATACTCAAGTAATGTACAGATACTTAAAAAGTGTACTCAAGTACAGTAATCAAGTAAATGTACTTCGTTACTTTCCACCTAGCTAGCATGATATTGCACACTGCCATCATGTTTTAACATGCTGCTAGCATGCTTTTAACATGTTGTCCCCGGCTAGTCGTTAAGCTTTGCTAGTAATATAGACAGCTTACACACTGTATAAGTCTTACTGTACAAAATTTTGACCCCCTCAATGAAAGTCGATAGGACTTTTCATAGATTTGAGCATCCGGTTAACGAAAATTCGAAGTCCGATCAGTTAGAAAAGATATAGCTACCCGAGTCAGACCAGTCTGAAGGTCCGACCCAAGTTTGGTGGTTGTAGCTTTAAAACTCTAGGAGGAGATAGAGTCCAAATGTAGTCTTAGAAGAAGAAGCTTAAACAGTAGATCAGTAGGTTGGCTTTCTCAAGCCTCATCTAACCGGCTTCTTCTTCGGGTAAGACATTTGTGGAAATGAAACGGTGACGTGAGCACGTTCAGCTTTACGAGGGGAAATTCTCGATTCCTCCAGAACATCACAGATACGAGTTCCTCATCGCCAGATTCACGACCACAACAAACCGCCGGGAAGCCGAGGCAGATCCTAATGACAGGCCTCCTCCTGCGCGCCTGTGTTTAACGAGGAGACGAGCTCCAAACGCACCATGACTCTCACTGTCTGTCCGCTGGCAGTCGTGAAGGACCCGCACATCTCGACGTCCTCTTTAAACATGGATGCAAGAGTGTGAGAGGTTAATTTTAGGAAGTTCACACCCCTGGAGCGACGCCAGGCCACGATTAGCAGACTGACTTCCTCCTCAGACGCTCACAGAACAACATCACACTGACTGACCCTTCATATGGACATCTGAAACGTCACTCCAAACCTTCAGACTCGCTTAAACATATAAACACACAAACCCAAACCCATCTTTGGCTTGATTTGTACTCTTCTTGTTTGGTAGTGAACAGAGCCGGTCTGTTGGGAAATGCTGTCTTTAAATCAATGGGAATGGGAAATTACTTTTTTCAAGTAACTAGTAAAGTAACGCATTACTTTTTAATTTACAAGAGAATATCTGAGTTACTTTTTCAAATGCGTAACGCAAGTTACTTTTTTTCCCAATTTATTGATTGACAGCTCTGGCGTCGCCATGGCGACAGAAATCAGAAGATGTTACTGTAGTTCTAAAATAAATATGAATATGCATTAATTCATCTCACTCACAAAAAACACACAGATTCAGTATTCCTCAAAATGAATACAAATAATGCAACTCAGAATATGACGCAAACCTGCAATAATTCAATGTTAAACAACACAAATATGCTTTATGTATTTAATCCCATTCTATTAACCAATGTCTTTGCTTCTGACCTTCGATGATCCAGTTCAACCGTACTAATAAACACAAATTACTCTAAATGAACATTTGTGTTGAAATGTCTTCTTCTGCATTCTACTAATGTCTTCTTCTGCGTTCTACTGTACTTTCCCTTCAGCCTGAGGCGCATTCATTTCACGTCTGGTGTGAAAAGGCTTTATATTCGCCAAAAATAGAACTTTTTTATTTTAAAAACAAACAAGCGAGCCCTGTCCAGATTTAAAAAGTAACGCAAAAGTAACATAACTCATTACTTTCCATAAAAAGTAACTAATTAACGTAATTAGTTACTTTTTTATGGAGTAGCCATAGACTGTATAAAACATGGATGTAGTGTCCGTGACGTCACCCGTAGACTTCCGACGAGCGTTTTGAAGCCTAAAGTGGGCGGAGCCAGCCGTCGCCATCTTGGCAGCGCGTCACCGCGCGTCACTCCCGGATAATCGTAAATGGGCAAAGAGGCGGGAGCTGGCTGCTGAAACCATGCCCACCTAGCTCGACGGTGGTGGCAATCCACCTGTCACTCAAGTGGCCACGCCCTTAATTATGCACAACTTTAAGGCTTAATATAATTTAAACGGATGAGTTATAAAAAAATTCACCCACCTCACAGTTGTCATGAAGGACAAAATCAGCTATATAGACCAAAATCATTTTTTGAACCAGGCTGTAAACATGTTTTTTTCTGCTGTAAAGTTGGGCATTTTAACATGGGGAGTCTATGGGACTGACTCTCTTTTGCAGCCCGCCTCTAGCGGCCAGTCGATGAATTACAGTTTAAGTCACTTCCGTGTTGGCTTCGGGAGTAACGCAATATTGTAACGCATTACTTTTAAAAGTAACTTTCCCCAACACTGTTCATAACACATGCCATGTTTACTCTGAGTCTGTATTTGTAACATAGAAACAGTCACACAACAACACCATGAGCGCTTTCTGTTCCTCCACAGGTGATTTTTATGATGCCGCTGGTGAATAAACATGCTGAACTTCCCTTTCAGAAATATCCTGAAATGAGACGTGATCATGTGACCCTCACTGAAAACAGACAATAACAGTACCATGGTATTACCATGTTTTGTTTGTTTGTTTGTTTGTTTGTTTCAGAAAGATATGTTTGTGATACCATGGTTATTCTGATTAGTGTTATTTTTAGTTACAGTTTTGGTTCATATTTTTTTTATACTTTATGATTTCATGTTAATTGCAGTTACAGTTTTAGTGTTTTTGGCATTTTTACTTATTGTTGTTGTTTTTATATATGTCTATATAGTTTTTATTTCAGTTTTAGTTTCAGCTATTTTAGGGAAATGAGAAATATAGCCTTTCATTTAAAGCAACAAAAAGGTATTTTATGGTTTTAATTTGAGTTAATACTGAAATAGACGGATTGCATGTATTAATTTAGCACACATTTGATCCAAAGTGACTGATGAAAGTGATATTATGGTACTGTTATATAAGTGAGAACAGAACATACTATGGTAATACTGTAAGTATAGTGTAAACAGTACACAAATGTGATAATCATTCAGTATCATAGTCTATAGGATACCATCACAGTACCACAGTATTTTACTCTAAAGAACATTTTGAGAAGAACAGGAGTGTGTTTTCAGTGTTTTGTAGATGTTGGTCTCATTACTGTGTCATATAATGTACTGTATTTAATGACAGCAAAGTACAGATGAAACATAAACTCTATCAAACTTCAGCTAAACACACACTAACGTCACAGCAAACTTTAAACTCATTTTAACCAGGTTTACTAAGTAAACGAAAGTAACAAGAACATCGTGTCCACACACACACACACACACACACACACACAGCGGCCCTCCGCGGTCTATTTCTCATTTAACTAATGTCCGAAACTCACCATGAAAGTTTCAGTCCGTCTCGTGTTACAGTAGATCCACAGATACCGCTGACCAGACGAGTGGTCAGGCCGCTGCTGGGTAGTTAGGCTGGTTAACGCTGGTGCAGTGTGAGTGAGTTCGGCGCTCGTGAGCTCATCGGGTAAAAATAACATCATGGCGTCACTGAAACTCACACACTCAACAAACAGCACTGAACCCAGAGCCACTGGCATCCGCGAACGAGCACAGAACGCCTCTGAGGGTGTAAACGAGTGTAGAAAACAGTGTAAGTTAGTTTATGAGGCGGAGCTGATTACACTCTCAGCAGCAGAGCTACATTAATTTTACTCACACGCTTTATTACACGCTTATAAGTTAACTAAAAATCACTCTTTTGGGTGATTTAATAGAGACATTAGACAAATTCTTGATGTCCTCTTTGGGGCCAGTGTCCCCTGATGGCCCCCTGTGTGTGTGTGTGTGTGTGTGTGTGTGTGTGTGTTTGTTTGTGTGTGTGTGT